GAAGCCGACTCGTAGCTGTCCGACTTCAGGCGAGCTTTTTGAGATCTCCCCCGGCTGCGATCGGCTACTCTTGTCTACTTTCGAGGCGAGCCGCAATGCGTCTCAAACAAGCCTGTTGTGATGAAGGAGGGGGGTCTGCAAAATTAGTATATGTGGGGGATGGGCCTGGCCCGGATGCTCTGACCGTTCCACTTCCTGCCTGCCCGACATTACCTTACGGCTGCGTCGCGTCAAAAATAGGATTCATCCTAATTTTAGAGAAGCCCTGCGCCGAGACGCTTCTAGGACGCTTCTGAGCCGTAATTCGCCGCGTGTGGTGGAATAGCACCCATTGACTAGAGTGGCCGCGATCGTTGCGAACGCCGCGGCGCAGCCGTAACACGACGCAGACGGACCCGGTGGAAATTAGGGGTTAGAGTCTAGGCTTGTTTGAGACAAGCGAGACCTGCGCAGACCTGCTCAATTTCGATCAACGTCTTGCTCGCGCGTTGCATGATGGTTAGTCATTTTGTCCGACTTGCTCTGGAGGCTCGCTTACATGAGACGTTGAAATCTCGCGGGACAAAGACGCCCGCAGCCTTGAGAGCGAGGCGCGGCGAGGCGGCGCAGTTCCTCTCCACGGGCTGTGGAAGCGAAATGCTTGATGGGAAACGACTCGCTGGTATCTCCAGCTGAGCGCTCATTGGTGGTTTTTTCCACGTGCTGGTGATGAAACTCTCCAATTGGCTGGGCAAAAGTTTGTTGTTGTTTTGTGTCAGTTTTACGTCGCCACTTCCATTCACATTTTTCATCATTGTTCCACAATATCTATCATCATTAAATTAATATCTATATATTTTATACTATACTTGCACTGCTTACCGTTTTCATACTTTATATATTCATACACACTGTTCATACTGCTCTCAGGCTGCTGTGTATATAGTGTATTCATACCCCTCACTGTTTATTCATCATTCAATTCATTCTATATTTTATTCTGTAGATTGTGTAGGCCAGTGGAGACGCTGCGCACAGCTGATCGACAGCTGGAACACAAACCACCAAATACAAAAACATAATTCAGCTCCAGTCGTCATGCCTCCACACCGGGGGGATTCCCCGTTCACTTCTTACAGTTTCTCATCAAGGGGGTGTCTCCTGTCCCCGGTACAAACACACTGCCTGTGTATTGTTTTTGTCATTAACCTTTTTCGGGCCATTTATTTATTTATTTTGGTGACGATCCGACCTCCATGCTGCTACTCTGGTTCAAACTGCATCCACCAAACAATATGATTTATCTCGACCTCCCCAAAATAACCAAAATAGCTGTTCTGTCGTCATTTCCTGCGATCTTCTTCATAAAGTCAGTCAAAATGAATGAATGGGCGTTTCTTTGACTATATTATAGGCAAATATGGGCGTTACGTGAAGCCCGCAAAAGCTGCACCGCATTTTGAGTCGGTTGTGATTTATAAAGGGAAACCGGCGTAGGAAGTGCTGTACGCGCTTTCCTCGCCCCAGGGGCCTCATTTATAAACGGTGCGTACGCTCAAAAGATGGCGTATGCCAGTTTCTAAGCAATGTTTGCGATTTATAAAAAACAAACTTGACGGGAAAATGTTCGGTCCTTCACGCAAACTCTGACCCATCCGTACGCGGTACGTACAAAAACGGGAGAGACGAGAAACTGCGATACTTCTTTACAGAGCCCCTCTTCCAACACACACGGACGCGCACATGACCAATGAGGGCACGAGATAAGTTTGTGCACAGATGGAAGGCTGACAGGCAGGTAGGCCATCCAGTTATTTTAGCCGGGCCGGCTAAAATGATTGGTCGTGCTTTTTACAGGACTACGGCTTCCACAGATGACGTTTTTTTATGGATTTTTTGTCAAAGCACTTAAGATATTCATAGGTTCTATAGGTTGTAGAGATACGAGCATGGTTATATACTATCATGTTTAATCATGTTTTATGCCCTTTCGCCAAGACTTGATAAGTCACTCATAAAACACAGGAGGTATGGAAACTAAGAACACCATATATTTGGTAGATTTGGCAGCTGATATTACACAACACATTTGTTTTATTTCATTTGATTTGATCGAGTTGATTGTGATTTATAAAGGGAAACCAGCGTAGGACGTGCCGCACGCACGTCCTACGCCGGTATGCAGTGTTTTATAAATCGGAAAATGTCTGTGCGTATTTATTTGCTTTGTCCTACTGTACGTAAGCAACCTTCCCACGTGAATCCTATGCAAGGCTTTATAAATGAGGCCCCAGGAGAGACCTCTTCCGGTGTTTATCTTCCAGGTTCTGCCAGTGATGCTGTTTTAATGGTCGGCAAAGTGAGCTTCAATTGACATAAGGAGGTGTTTAATGTTTCAGGCCAATTACCTTTTTTTAAACCTTGGCTTCCATCTCTACCTATGTCCATAACCATCATTCATATTCTGGCTAATGAAGATCATTCTGCACTTACTGTAACCTGACTGATGGGATATTTCCTACCCACAGGAAAGCAGTAGAATAAAATGAGTATGAACCTATTACTGGTCAGAAGGAGACAAAAATCGTTGCAGGTAAAATGAAGTGAAACAGATTTAATTACAACAATTACTTTCAAAACTGTCAGATTAAATTCAACATTGCTCTGTTGTAGCCTCCAAGGTAGCTTAGTTTAATACTACAAGATGTATTCATTCTTTCTATGGTAGTCTGGAAAATATCTACAGAGAAGAGCCCTCGAGCTAGAGGCTTGACCAATAAGAGAGTTATAATAGATGATGTGGTTGGGCCACTTCTGAACATTGTTCTGTGCTCAGAAATGAAGCACATTTCTGAAACGGCAAGGTCTACTCCCCCTAAAAAGTAATTCCAACAACATTTCAGTCGACATTGCATGAGTAGACACAGCTCATTTTGTTCCTGTTTGAATATCGAAAGCAAAGACCAATAAAAGCCCATCATGTATTTGTCCAGTCAGGTGTCCTCAAAAAGCAAAGAATAATTTCCGAACTGGCTTCCAAGGCTACTTGCACCGCAAAGGGAGCACTGTCCATTGATTTTTCCATTTGAAAATGTTTTTAATGTTTCAGTCAAATAAAAAAAAACTGGTTCAACTGCTGCTCTCTCTGTAACCACTTAACCTCCTCAAAGAGAATGTATCTATTAAAGATCAGTGCATTTTTGTAAAGACCACAAACAATGTTGTTCATTCACTGCTTTTCTACAGGTGTTCCATTTGATATGTAATCTTAAGGAACCTAAAAGCATGGGGTCTCAGCTTGCGTTCCATTATCATTTCAATACTTCAAGGTAGTCTTTTGTCGAGATGCAGGATGTAATTCCAGCTTCAACATGTGTGACCTTGACTTGAGCAATCCTGTATAATTCAATGTCCAGGCTCCACAGCGGGTGTGTGAAAGAAATGCATGTAAATGATAGATGGCTTGTCATTCATCACCGTCGTCACCTTGGCAAACAGGAGGAAATAACAGTGCAGGTACGGTGTCATTTCCTTTGAGCAGCTACTTTGTCTTGCCCTAAAAACGTGTATCTGTCACGTTGAATACCAGATACTGTACAGAGATACACAAACATATATTTATGTAAAAACATAAATGTAAGCAGCAATCATCCACGCATGAGCCTGAATTCATTATTTAAGTCTTGTGGACATGATATGAAAGTTGCAGACTTGTTCTTCTATTCTTCAAACCTTCTTTTTATTCATCACCTTGCTCCGCCAAAGCAGGAAGTTCTTAAATTCTATACATAATGGTAAGTTCGGTGAGCTTCTCAAATTTACAATGCAATACCCTTTTTCATGTACTTGAGTGAAACTTCAAGGATTAAACAAGTTATTTGCTACATTGTATGCATTTTCAAAGAACACCATAGATTTTGATTAATTTCATTCCTAACCAGCAAACTTTTTATTTTATTGCTTTTTTGTGAAAGACAAATTACTTGAGGTATTTAATCCTTCTTCATTTTTGGGGAAAAGGTTTGGTAAGGTATTATTTCAGAATTGACGTGGTACATTCAAGGACTTACAGTCAACAGAGTTTTGAGTGTCAAGAGAGCCTCTTTCATTTAACATCCACATTCATATTGTCCTCAAGTGCTTGGACGTGGGGGATATCAGAATGCAACACAAGAGCTTTGAATACCATAATCATAATAAGAACAGAAAATACCCTTCAGGATATGAGATGCAATGAATCATCCATATTAAGCAACTGTTAAGTCTATGGTGCATTTTGATATAGTGCACTGAAGTCAAATGAAATCCAATGTTGTGTAGAAGGTGGGAAATCCCTTTTAAAAGATATGGTATGTTTGGAAAAATGGTTTGCAGTAATGTGAAGTAGTTAACGGGATAACACATCAACATGTATAACCACCAGTATGTTTATTTAGTAAGACCTGGCAGCTTGCTATTGGCTCCTTGGTTGACTTTGGCTGGTGGGGTATTTGTCTGGTAGGTCACTTGAGAATAATCGTATTTATTCCAATGGATGGTCTAGATTTAATAGTATTTTGGTAACCCTGGTAGATTAGGGCACACAGGAACTATCTGCTGTCTGCTTTGGTCTTCTAATGGGATTTGCTGACACACTGAAATGGATCTTGCGATGAGATCACGACACCTACATGGGGCCAGCGCCATACCCTAGGCAGGCCAATGGCCCCTTCCCCACTTCCAACCACCCCCTACTTCCAATGCCCTTGTCGCCATACATCCATCTTCAAACTACACACCTGTAAAGTTTTGTCACTCAATCTTGCACGGTAATCCATGACAGTGCCAAGAAATGAATGCTTTAGATGCTGAGTCATGTCTTTTTTCATCCACACTCTTTGCAATCACTCTCTCCTGACAGCTGTCCGAGAAATGATGAGAATAATGAAGCTGTGCTGCTGCTTTGTGGATGTTCAGCAGAGTGTTCACTTCATTTTTCATTCACGCATTGATTAACTGCGCAGAAGAAGAGACGGACGTACCTTTGACTATAACTGTTCTCCTTTCGCCGACAGTGGAGGGTGACGACCCTGTGACCTTCACTTCTGACTTCCTGGCTCACCGTCCACACAACAGGATTACTGGCTCTAGCTCCCAGGAACGCCACGCCGTCCTTCAGTTTGACCCTGAAACAAACAGAAGTGCACACGGGTTAAAAGGAAAACAAAAACATTTGATTTCAGAGCCTCAGAAATACGATTGGGCTCTTAATTCTCTTTCTCCCTCTGACACAACAAACATGTCAAAAGACAGAAATGAAATGAGTTGGGCTTGAATTGACACAAGGTCACAAAACAAATAGATCAATGGTCAGATGGTCTGTCTCTGTCACACAGGAAGGACATTCTTTTAGCTCCTGCAACAACAAAACAAGAATATTTTGGACAGTAGTATTGCACTGATAAAAAATATGCTCTACTAATATAAAAGCACTTAACTGCAGCAAAAAAGAAGAAAAACATTTTTTGAAAGGCTTTTGGCAGTTGAGGATGATGAGAAAACAATAGCTGTCATTTTCTCTAAAAATCTTGTTGACAAAGGAACGTTTCAGTTTTAGCAACTCATCCTCTCTGGATTATTACCATTAAGAGAAAAGGTTTTCACTTCATTTTGTAATAATCTGCTGCATTGTTAATACAAAGTCTGAACGCAACACGTCCCATGAATGTCCAGCAACATGTGCACAATCGAGGGAGTGGTGCCATTTATATGGCTAGGGCTCTTATTTTGAAATGGTAATTCGACCCTCCGGCAGTCTATATTGCATTGTAAAATGAGGATTATGGGAAACCAATCCAAAAGCTACTGGGGTCATTATTCTACAGTCTATTGCCACTTTAATTTTTTTACGAAATGTATTCCGGGCTCACATGGGACGTTAACACAAGTCTCCTTGTAAAATAAGGTGTTTTTTTATCCCATCCATCCAACCCAACCTCCTCGCTTTTCTGACTTTGTCGCTCTTTATACTTCCTGGTTCCCAATAACACATTTATTGGAGATGTATGAAGGACAAAGTCTTACTTTTCTTAGCTATGAATGGTGTTTGAAAACAGCCTGCATGCACACAACCTCAAACACACCTGGGGTTTAACCAAGACTCCAATATTTGCCTCTTTGCCCCATATGTCCAACCCCTTTGTCCTTATAACTTCCATTACTGATGGTCATAGTCTGGCAGAGGCTAAACATGTGCCAAAGAACCATGACCTCCTCTTCTTCTAGTATACTGACACGCTGTTGCTCTCCTCCTCCTCCTTCTGTCACATGGAATTACCATGAAGTACGTGAGCTGCTTTCAGTGCTTCCTTTTTCAACATGACAAATTGCTCTTGTTCAAACCCCTGGCACGAATGCGGCAGAATATTTTATGCGAAGGAAATGAAGAAAGAAGGCACGAAAAAGCCAGATCTGAAGTAAAACACCAAAAGCTAAAAAGAAAGGTGATGAGAAAGACACATTTGTTCCCAGTGAAACATGAGCCCAGGGTAAATTCTTTCTCTGCATCAAAATAATTGGAGACTGTCCTTGTTCTGATACTGAGAAAGACTTGGTAGAGATGAAGGGGGGGGAACTGAGCGTTAACCAGGGGATAATGACATGACAAACCATGCAGCAGTCTTTAGAAGAGCACAGTCATTACATCTTCAGTGTTTCACTGTCGCCTTTGATCTTATCCAGGCTGCTGAGGCTGTAATAACTGGCCTTGTGTTGGTCTCTGCTCCTGACGAGCAGAGATAAAGGCCGCTGGTGTGGAAGACATAGACAACAACTAGGAGGAGGCGACTGATTGCTGTCTGCCCTCCTGTTTCCCAGTCAGCACCTTTACACGGCGCAGTAATTACTACAAACTCACAAGCAGACTAGCACTGACAGTGGACAACGGCTAATGATAATCAACTATACGGACCAAGGTCTGCTCTATTGATCAAATATCACATCCCAGTTTGAAGGCATAAACGCTTTGTCCCATGATACCGAACAGCACCTTCTTCCTCTTTACAGATACAACTTATTTTCATTAGTGCTATATTGAAAAAAAAAGCTGGTCATGCCGTATAAATATATGTCGGCTTAACTGGTGTTTTGTCACAGTATTTGGCAAGTAAATGACTAATGTATTAGTGAATCAATTAATTAGTGGGCTGATGAGATGATCAATACTGTATAATTATTTATTTTCTTTCACACATGTCTCATCCTTTCATCTCACTCTCAGTTTCTTTCCTCCTGCTTCACACTCGCTCTGTATCTCTCACACACACATGACAGCTGACAAGCAAGCACTGCTAAATTAACAAATGGCATGTTATAAATTACATTGCTTTGGCTAATATGATTTCTGGTGAGGGAGGAGGAGGGGTGAGGCAATAAGGGAAAGCAATTTCCCATGCATCAGCACATGAAGCTGCCTCATTAATTCCATGAAAACCTGCATCAGTGGGATGAGTATTTACAGATGAGATGAGGTTGTCAAGAAAGACGGTTTTCTTCTCTCCCCTGATTGATGCTCAGAAATGACTCCGCAGGACGGCCACTCGTATGCTGCGTGAAATACCAATGTGCATTTATATAAATTGACTTTACACAGCAGGGAAATAAATGGAAAACAAACAATGTGAGGCCATGACTCTTGTGTGCAAATAACACATTAGATGTTAAAGCCATCAATCTAAAAATAAGTAACAAAACCATTACCAACAAAAAAAAAGATTTAAAATGGTTAATTTAACTCCAGAGTCTGGGCTGTCCAAAAACACAAGACATTCACTTAGGAGACTGCTGTGCGTGCACCATGAGTAACTGCCATACTCCTCCCTACTTATTTTCAGCCAAACCACCATATACTTAACATAACAGATATGTATTTTTGGGAGCAGCGGAAAGCTTTCAATATCAACTATCACTTGTCAATTTTCTTACTTGATGCCAAATTGGGCTTTTGTAACAAAAAAAGCAAACATTACAATTTAAGAAAAGGGAGAAAACAGAAGGGAGAGTGCATTGTTGTTTGAGAGGTGGTGTAAAGGGCTTTGTGTAGAGCCCAGGGATGAAAATATAACTTGGTGTCAAAGGTGTTTGAGTGGATAGTGGAGGGACCAGCGGTGGTTTAGAAGACATGGGTGTTGTGTTAGTGTGGAAGAAAATGGACAGATGACAAACATTCAATGGAGGTGAAGAGAGGACTTTATTGGTTAAGAGGCTAGAATAAGAGATTTAAGTCAACAATTGCATGTGTTCTGGTCTTATCTTTCCAACATCAGAGAGCACATTATGTCAATGACATCATTAAGAAGCCATTTGCGAGGTTATGTCACCAACTAAAGTAAAAATAATAGGGAAATCGGCTTTTGGAGTGCACAGACCCCTGCCAAGGCCAAATGCCCTAGATTGCAAAGTTATATAAGACATTTAGAGCATTACATTAACAGCTAAAATCCTTTTAGAGACAATGGAGGAATGGCGACCTGAGCAAATAATAAAGACAGAACTCCAACCCTCTGGTTCTAGATTAAGAGGCCCAGACTGAATGTTTTATATAAAGCCTGTCACCAAAGTAAACAATATGCTTGTATCAACCCCGTTATTCAGATCTACTCTAAAATTGAAAGGCTTCTATCTTGAACAATGCTACACCCGTCCACCAAGTGCCATGAAAACCGGGCAGTCGTTTTTCTGTAATCTTGCTCACAGTCGGACAACAAGACATAAACCGAGCCAAAAACACATCCTCCTCCTTGGCAGATAAATGACACGAACAGGAGGAAAATGGTTCCTGGTTTTTCAATCCAGGTGATAGCGGATCATTACTCCGACAGAGATGGAGACGAAGAGAACCCAATATCTCCACACTTGCGATATACACACGCAGGTCTGGGTCTATATCAGATATTATGTAAACTCATTGGCAGAGAGTGGGTTGGTGGACAAAGCTAACCTTTAGAGGAGATAAATGAAAGCGAGAACAATTGCTCTGATATCGGCTCAGCCGCAAAGAAAAAACACCGTTGGCTCCTTCTACACAGAGACGCAAAGGGATGGGCCAGATGGAGAAAAGCTGTGATACAAATGAGTCAGCTAATTCAAATAAAACCTGCAGCCGGCTTCTGAGCAATCATTATCTCACTCAAAAAACATCACAAATTGATCATCTGATAATTGGATAAATCTAAAACCCACCCTAACTCGTGGTTGGGCATATTTTCCTAATTAATTTCAAAAAGGTAGTTACGCTAAATTCAATTTACTGACAGCAAGTGAAATTGGCCAAATCACATTTGGCCTGTTGATTTGGCCTGTGTCCCTAAATGCTCAAACACCTGCAGCTAAATCCAGTTATAAAATGAATGCACAAGCTGTTGGACATAGAGCCCCGGCTTCCTTTATTTCCCTTCCTTCCTCTCTATCTCTCTTGCTCAGAAACAAAATAATCCCTCTCACCTCTGGGTAAAATGAGATTAGATAGTAGCCAATGAAAGGTGAACCAGGCTGGGAGCCGGTTCAATAAATTAGTAGGGTGAAACGGGGCAACAGAGTAAATTAGCTAAGGAATAGTTGTCGGAGGAGTGTTTTTAGGGGTGAGCGGACTCAGGCAGATGCAGAGATAAAGAGCGAGCTAATTCAATTAATGAGTTTGATGCTGTTCCTCCCATTATCACAGCTAGTTAAAAGTGCTGGAGCGTGGCGGCGCTGCAAACCGAGTACAAGATTAACACTATCAGATAAAGAGGGTTCTCCAGACAAAGCTCATCTCCACCCATGCATTCTGGGCCGTCCCTCTCTCCGTCTCACCCTTTTGTCTCACTTTCAGCATGTCTCTTATCCTATCTCCCACTGTCTGTCTCTATCTGGAACACTCTGCTCCCCTCACTGTATCTACACACCCAAGCCTTCCTCTAATTTCCTTCACCACAGCTCCCCTTTTTTTTGGTGCTCTGCACTATAGCTTGTTTTGTGGGATTTTAAAGGCAACCAGTGCCAAGTCACTCTAATTCAATTTAGTCTGTAAAGCTTTATAAACTAAAGGTCTAAAGACACAAACAACTTGCTAAAATGTTGGAAACTACTGACTTGACAGTTTTTGGCCCAACTTGCCTTTGATTAGAACTTTGTGGTACTCTGTTCA